TGAACGCCAATGTTCTAGGTCTGGGCGCTCGAACGAGAGCTGAGCATGTAGCAAACATTTGTTCATTGTTTCCATTTCCTTGCACAATTTATTCATCTTCTATTGCAATTTGGACTCCTTATCTTCTTCAAGTCCAAAACAAATTTCAAACTCTCAGTGTGTTGACATATGATTGATTATAGCCTTAAAGTTTTGATTATAACAAACAAATTAATCTTATTTACTAACAAGTTGAATTTAAGTAATTATAGTTTTTTAAAGCATACGATGAAAAATTGATCAATGGTCGTGAAAAGATCAAAATCTGTCATCACAAATCGGACTCAAGAAGGAGGTTAAGATCAAAGTCACACATTCAAGAACCTAAGAGCTAAACTTTGGAGCAAGATCCAACATTGGATTTGTTAGATAAAATGTAAATGTACCAATATCTTGATATTTGGTAATGAATGTTTAAGTTCAAAATCTTTCTATGCATTAAAAATAATTTGGTGCATTAAAAGTCATTCTAATGCAATGTTTTGATCAAATATAAAAATAACTTTTAAAATGATACTTGAACTAGAAAATAGATTTTATCTTGAAAAGTTAGTTAAAAATACTATTCAAAAGTCAATGCCTTCGAAACTTTCGAATCGGATCAAACGAGGTCAAAACGTAAAAAAGACCGAAACTGCCGGCAGTCAACTGTTCAAAATTTGACCATTCTGACATCTGATTTTTATTGTCAAGTTTCAAAATAAAGGATGATGATCATGATACTTTTGGAGATAATGTCAAAAGAAAGATCAGTGATATTGAAATTATTGGTAATCATTTATCTCCCTTTATTGAAAATGTTCTCTAGCAGATAACCTTAAACATAATCTACATAATTTCAGTCAATTTTGTGGTGAATGTTATTATATTAAATTTGATTCTTCCAAGTGTCTTATTGAGAATACTATATCAAAAAATGTGATGTTTACATGATTTTGAAGTAAAGATGTTTATGTCATAAACACTAAGGTCCTGTTTGATTTGGCATTATTTTCCCTGGAAGATGGAAACTAAATTCCATTTCTAACTTTTTGCATGTTTGATTGACTAAATTTTTCATGGAATTGATTTTTCACATTTTCTTCGTTTTTGAGGAAAAGCTTTTCTCATGGGTTTGGTGGGAAAGACTTTTCTGGGCAACCTTTTTTTTTTTTTTAATTTTTTTTAGTAATGGAAACAAATTATATCTCAAATTGTAACAAATTATATCCATTTAATGGACAATTTTCATGAAAAATAAAGCCAAATGAATACCAAAAGATCCAAAATTTCAATATTTTTCAGGTGAACAATTATACCAATCAAACACAATTAATTGATAGTTCTCAGTAAAACAAGTTCTAAGTAATTCAATTCCCTGAAATTCAATTTCTTTCTACCAAATTCCATTCTTATAATCAAACGGACCATAAGTTTAAATGCGGAGAAAAATGTTTACCAAGTTTAAAATATGATACTTGATTATGGCATAAAAGATTAGATCATATTAGTATAGACCTACTTTCAAAATT